CCTTTCAAATCATTTCTTTATGATCAAGAAACACACAAGGGTTAGGGTTAACAAAGATAACAAGGTAAAACAACAAGGAACAACAAGGATTGGTTACAAACTGTTATTCTTTCCTTTCTCTTGGAACAAGATTACAAGTATACAAGAATAACAAAATAACCTCTCTCGCTTGAAATTAGGATTTTATCTTCCTATTTTTCCTTATGCCAAGATTGAGAAACTAGCATCCTATTTATAAATAAAAAATAGCATACTAACCTAATGGGCTTTTTAACAATTACTCATTACAAGCTAACTTAGGGTACAAGCTAACTTAAACAATTGGGCTTACAAGTAAGGCCCAATTCAACATGCTAACAAACCTAGCAATATTGACTAATGCATGTTATAACAAACTTCGACTACAACACGCATTACTCCGACATCAGCATGCGAACAGACTTCGACCTCATGCTTAATACCTGTCGAAATAGAAGCTACCCTTCAAACATACTAGAGTTCGATCCAACATCTCACTAGTTGCAATACTCATAATGATAAATGGTCCCTCAATGAACTTATATCTCATTTTATACAAGTGGAAAAGGAGATGATGAGAGAAATGACTAAAAATGCTCATTTTGCGACTAGCTCGTAGAATAAAAGGAATAATTATTTTGAAAACTTCTCTCAAAATAAGAAGGAAAATGAGCAATCTAAGGAGTCAACATGCTTCTTTTGCGAGAAGCAGGAACACGTGAAGAAGGATTGTCCCAATACGCTGGATGTGTAAAAAAAGAGTGATTTTGTCAAATTTATTTGTTCTCTACTCCAACAACAATATGAATTCTACAAAGTCAAAATTTATTGATATCAAATATCTTTTTGTAAAAGAAATAGTTAGGAAAAATATATTTTGATAGAACATATAGGGACATACTTAATGATAAATGATCCACTGATCATAAATTTGACACCTAAGACTTTTCATAGGCATCTTGCTCACATGAGTCTTATTTTTGAGATTGTCTTATATTAGCGAGTTTGTTTTTCATATTTTTCTATGTTTTATACTTTGGTTTATTTTGGTACAAATTTTATGTTATATTTGATTTTTTTGCATAAATAAAACTTATGATGTATTATTTTTATAACAATATTAAAGTTTTTGTTATGTGCAAATATTTTAATTTTGAATTGCACCTTCAATTTGATCATAATAAAGACTTCACCTAGACAATTTAGAGATGGATATGATTAAGAGATCACATTACATGAAATTTTCATATCATCCATCCATATTGATCTATGCAATCTAGTACATTAATATTGTGTGTGTTCGAGTTCTGTCATTTTTACGTCAGTGACGACAGTTGATGTATCAAGTGGACTAGATTGTAAACTTAAAATTTAAAGATAAATCACATTCATGTGTGCAACTAAAGAACTGTGATAGAATTACTAAGATGTATTGTACAAGTGAGAGATTATTGAAATATTTTATATTAATATTATATTCTAATAATTATTATATAGACATATATATTTATATTGATTATAGTATCTACACCAATATTAAGAGTTTTAATCGATTGAGTGATCGAATAAAATTAAAATGATTAATTATATTCTAATTAAAAATTAATTTTAATATATATATATATATATATATATATATATATATATATATATATATATATATATATATATATATATATATATATATATATATATATATATATATATATATATATATATATATATATATATATATATATATATATATATATATATATATATATATATATATATATAAAAGAAACCTCCAAAAGGTGAGATGGAGTACAAAAACCAACCCGACCAAATAAAAAAATTTAGAAGAAAACCACCAACCACTTAAAACAAGCTGGAGATAAAACCTCTCAAAATTAGCAAAAACAAACATAATTAACCACCAAAAGATAAACGAGGTTCCTGAACCGCATGAAATTAAGAACTCAGAGAACCCCCGGAAAAAAAACAAGTTGAGGGAGACAAAAACCATGGCATATGAACCATAGATTCAGTCACCCAAACAACACACCACTATAATCCCAAGCTTAAGAGTGTGTCTTGCTCCCAGTCTTTAAGAGAGAGGCCTAATCCAAGCAAATTAGAGCGAACTCACTTTCAAGAGAGAAAAATTACGAAATTCACCTAGTGATTAACCAACAAGATTTTCCTGCTAAAACTAATTTACTATGCGTATATTCCAAATAATGCACTTCATGAAATCTCATCTTGGCCTAAACTCACCCTTTTCCCTCTACCTAACCGTTAAAACACCTCAAACACATCTAAGATCATATGCAGAAGGGGAAGAGGTCTTCCCATTTATTTACGAACCATATACCACACCACAGACGTACCTTGATACAGAACAAGCAATCCACCCCATTATCTATTTTGATAATGTTACACCTACCCAGATTTATCCTATTGGCCAACCTATCTTGCAAAAAAAATAAGAGAAAACAATAACTTTGGAAGGCGTTCAACTCTTCCAACGACTAGCTAACCGCTGAATTACTCGATCATATATATCCTCTTCTCTAAACTCGAAGGTAGAAAGGAGATCATATGTTAGTCGAACCGAAAAATCTTCCTTTAGAGTCTAGATTCTAAACTCAAACATCCTTTTTATCCTACTTCACCACCCCCTCGGTGGAACTAAGAAGATCACCCAACAGATCTTCCTCTCAAACATACAACACTCGCATTCATCTAAACTCTCAAATCCATACACCATCCTTCTAATAATTAATTAGTTAATGATGTATGAGCTCAAATATGAGTGGATGTCACTATGTTAATTTTGTAATAACTGTGGGACCTATAATTGGTCATCACTTTGTATATAGACTGCAATCTAATATACCTTACATATACAAATAATATTTTCTCTCCATCTGAATAGAATTCAATAAAGCAGTACCGGTAGAGAAAGAACCACACAAGCTAGGTTGCATAGGTACAGGTACGTACCTGGTACCTGTACCAAATACTGGTACAGAGTAAGGCATTTTTAAAGAAACAAGGTATGGGTACGTTAGCATAATTTTTTTTAAATACAATTATAAAAATAAAAAAGGAATTATATTGTTTAAATAACAACAAAATATTAAAATTAAAAAACAATTTACTTAAAAATAGTTAATATCTGTGCAGTAACATAAATAAATCACACTTAAAAAGTATTAATAAATCATGAAGTCATGATTGAATATCAATATTTTCCTCTCCAATATCATTAAAAAGAGCGACTTCTAGTTCAAGTTCATCTAGAGAAAGATTAGCAATTTCAAGAATATCAAATCCATTAAATAGATCTCATTCATCTACATCAATGTCCCATATTTTTATTACTTCTTCATTATAAACCTCAAGATTTGTATGTATAAAAACTAAATCACCAACTCTCTTTGGATTAAACCTATTTCTTTTTGATAAATGAGTAAATCCATATATACTTCAATTTCTCTAGGTAGAAGATAAAGAACTTGGTTATGAAAGAAGTTTTAATGCAATGGGTTGGTTTCTTTTTCACTTTTTTATTCATTAATAAAATAATTAACCTAATTTTTACACAATAAAAAAGGCTTAAATTATATCATTCCAAAAAAGATTAAAACGTTAGATAGGCGCTATCAAATGTGTATCAATTGGTGTACTAATTTTAAAAATTAAAAAAAAAAATTGATATGATTTCGAGAAGAACCATACACATACTGGTATCCAATACATACAAGATTGTATCTTATACGTATCCGGTACTAATATTTTATCTAAAGTGATGTCCCGTGCTTCAAGGCACACAAGTCATCATATATATATATATATATATATATATATATATATATATATATATATATATATATATATATATATATATATATATATATATATATATATATATATATATATATATATATATATATATATATATATATATATATATATATATATATATATATATATATATGTGTGTGTGTGTGGGGGTTGTGTGTGAATGTGATTAATAGTTATTTAATAAATTTGAATTTTGTCATGTTTTGATAATTTATATTAGTATAACAAATTTAATGTTGGTAAAGTGACATTATTATCCAATAAAAAGTATTAGTTTTTAAGCTCGCAGTTTTCTTTATGATGTAAGCCTTTATGTATTTTTTTTAAGTGTTGATAAACCAACATATCTTTTCTATACACGTTTAAAACATCGGATCAATCATATATAAATATATAAAAATATTGCTAATTAAATTTAATAACTTAATTTAATTTACAGTCAAATGGTTTATCACATTTTCTAAAATAAAATAAATTAATTATTTTTTCAATTGAATTAACTATATTATTTACATAATTAATCAGTGTTGCTGTAAAAAAAATATTAATAAAAAAAAACAGGTGTTCGTGAAATAATTTTTTTATTTTTAATCTGAGTATGTGGAGTTGGTATTTGGATGAGTATCACTACTTAGCCACTAGCACAAAATCAAAATAAAATTATATATGAAAAAACATCATATCAAAACCTACCAATCTTGTTTTGAAAGCTTAAACCCATTCAAAACAATGGGATGAACACAAAAACTATCCTCTAATGATTTTCTTCCCATTATATATATATATATATATATATATATATATATATATATATATATATATATATATATATATATATATATATATATATATATATATATATATATATATATATATATATATATATATATATATATATATATATATATATATATATATATATATATTGTGGGCAATGAATGTAGTTTGAACATAGCTTTCGAAATCTTCTTGTAGGTTAACATTGAAAATGAAACTTTCCTAGGCTTAGCGTGAAGAGTTATTCTCCATTACATTCTATTACTCCACGTCATCATACCCTCCAAAAACACCTTTAAAGTTTCATCTCATCCAACTCACAAACCAAACCAAAAACACTTTCTCTATCAAAAAAAATGGAGGGTCTTATTCCATTTGTGTACAAAGCCATAGTCCAATACAAAAATGGCAAAGAAAGGACTAATATAAGTTCTTGGTTTTGTGACTCACCTTCTTATTCTTACATGAAACTTCCCACCGGTGACTCCGGTCGGTTTCAAACTGTTTCGTCTTCTTCGTCTTCCTCAAACCCTACCAAAGTTATCATATCTTCTTCGGGCGATGATCGTGACGATGTTCGATCTCCACGTCGCCGCTCGACCGGTTCATGTAGGGTTTCGACATGAACATGACTTGTTGTATTGTGGTGCTTGAATGAATGTGGTTTGTTTGATTATTATCTTACTTCATGTTTGTGTTGTGACTTGCATGTTCAAGTGTGTGACTAACCTAAAAAAAGGAGTCATACGTTTGTTTGTTAGCATTGTGCAATTGTAAATATTGGTTATGAATGCTTGTGACAATATTGTATGTGTTTCATGGACAAAGGGTCATAAAATGTTATATATTGGATTTGTTTCTTGATCAAAGGTGTGATATCATAGAAACAATGAAAACTATGTTAATTGCTTCTTTATTATGTTTAGTGATTTGATTGATTTTTATGTATTCATGATTATTTTATTAAGGTGAAATATATTTCATCGCCAGTATATATAATATTTAGTTTTTTTTTTTTATATAGAATTTCAGTTTGCTCAAACCTTGGAGCAAGGAGTAATTAGTTGTCTTTTACTAATTATACTATTTTGACTAGAAAATTGTTTTTGATCACTGTCATCTAACAAGATTTAGATACAAAAAATTGTTTATGATATTGATTTGTTTGTTTGTTTTATAATCAGGTTTGGTAGAAGATGGCGTGTAAAACATTCTATTAGGATATATGGCTTTCATTGAAATCTCACTTTATAATATTTATTTATGCAGTGAAGTAACAGTAAACCTAATCCAACATGAAAATATTAAATAATGCTGGTTTTTTAAATGATAAAGTTAGATCAATTTAGTCTTTTAAAATTGTAAAATGAGAGTTTAGTCCTTTGAATTAAAAAGATGTTACTCACCCTCTACCTATATTTTATATGGCCAATAACTAAAAATAGACATAGCAATACACATGATTTGAACAGAGTATTTATTCTCATATTTTTATATGGTAGATAATTTTAATTTTTGCTGATAGTCACCAGAAATGGATCTAATTGTCATCATTGAGTAGAACATGTAAAAAACCACATAATTGAACCAAACTGAAATTAAAATAATCAAATTATTATGTTTAATTAACCATGATTCTCAAATAATTTTAGAACCAAATAAATCAAACTCAAACCAAATCGAAATTAAAAATAAAAAATGCTAAAAACAAATATTATATATTCAATTTGAGAAAAACTATCTTCTAATAGTTTGGTGGAATAGTTCAAAATAGTATCTATCTCCTACTAGTAACAGTTAACCCTTTCAAAGTAGCATAACATACGCCGCAAGTAAATAGCATAAATTTTGTAAATCATAAGAACAAGTGAAATGAGAACTCCACAATCTCTTTTCAAGGTTTTCAGGATACTAAATTACCAAACAAGATTATGTACAACAGCAAAAATGTAGCATGAGTGAGATAATTTACCTACATTAAGGAAGAAAAAAATCAACAGAATCATATCCAAAGCTAAAGTTAAACCGAAACTCTACAACTAGATTGACGCAAGATTTTTTTTAACCAAGAACTGAATCGCAGCGAGATCACCTGAAATACTAAACTGACACCTTGAAAACCACCTACCAAGAGTTTAGAGAAGGGACGGTAAAGAAAATTTCGACCCTCGTGTCAGAAAGATATCAAAGATACTGTGATGTGTATGATAGGCAGGCTAGACTGAGGCCAATATCCAAAACATCACATGTGATGATATTGCGGTAAGAAACCAGGTGACGAAAGCCATGGCTACAGACACCTGGTACCTGTGGCAAGGGATTATCTTATGAGTCGCGCACATATCCACGTCTTTCGTATATAAAACTATGACTCCTGCTGATGAGCATGCAGCTGCTAGTGACAAAATGGCTGTTACCTGTATATAACATGAGTCATTACAATGATTTAACCACATCAGAAAAATTTCACAAAATACAAAACGTAATGCCAGAGAAGAAGATACCAAAGGTTCCTAATGCTGTAAAATGAGATTTGTACTTCAGATTAAAGACGTATTCACTGTTCGACACGTGTTGGTATATGACATAACACGTGTTGGTGTATGACATAACACCAACACGCATAGTTACATTCTATTGGTGTCTAGGAGTCAGTGTCGTGTTTCTGGTGTTTGTTGTACTTGTGTCAGTGCTCCATTGATTCAAGTTGTTAGCAATTATTGACAAAAAATTAGAACCAGTTGAATACTTGTTCAATTGAATAACGCGTATTATTTTTATCCTTCCGTTTGTTTCATTTTATAAACTTGGTTTTCCACATGAAAATAGGAAAAAGAGTGGTCCGTGTATTACCCAATCGCCTACGACAAACAGGCTAACAAGAATTGGATTTTGTAAGTCTCGCTTTTTTCTCAATGCATAAATATCAAGACAAGCAAGTCCAAAGCTCCAGAGAACCTGAAGTCCCATTGATGCAGTTAAATAGCTGAAAAAATGAGGAAAATATCCGAGTTACATTCCCGAAAAAACATGACAATTAATTTAGGCAATAAAAAAAGAAAAGATTTTGACATTGAGTTGTAACATTTGACAATTAATTTAGTATCTATTCATTCTTTTCTTCTTTATTTCCTGAAGAAAAAAGCCATTAGAATCGAAAACTCAAAACAGAGCATGTGAGATCAGCAACGAAAAGTCTAAACACCCAAAGCATAAATTGAGACATTATAATATTTGGGAGAAACAAAAATGAAAGGAATCAGCAATGGAAAAACACTAGAACTTGAAGAATAGAAATATCACCAAATTTGTCCTGTTTTAAAACAGGGGAAGCAAAAAATTCAATTTATAGCCCCTACAACAAGCAAATCGGGAACTGATGAGAAGGAAAAGAGGATGAACTGGCTAGAGATTTGCGAGGAGGTTGTAGAAGTAGCAGACAGAAATATTCTAACTTAAAAGAGAGAACTTTAGAGAGTAAAGGCAGCTGGAAACCGATGATAATAAAAGAATAATGGAAGCAATGGCATTTTCACCATAGTGTTTAAAATTTTATAAAACTCAACAACGGAATATTGGTAGAATAAAAGGTAAGTCACAGAGGATGGTACCGTGGTGATATTATGTCCAAATTAAAGAGAGCTTTAGATGGGGAAAAAAGAAGATATAACATTGAGACTATATAAACTTAAATGGACGTTGGTTTAAAGCAAAGGGTTTGTCACAAAATAACAAGCTTGAGCTTTTGTTACCAATACTAGACTCATCACCGCGTATGTACATGTGTATGTAATATGATAAAACATGAAAATACAATGAAATATATTAACCAATCTCGAGAAAATCTAAAATACTCCAAATTACACAAGGGAAGATACTATTGGATACTTTGCAATCATAATCGAGATTGGGTTTAGAACTGTCAAAGGAAACCAAAAGCCCAAGTTGCAATATGTTAGAAGAATCAAATATAAGACCCATCTATTTATTATGAGGATAAGAATCATAGATTAGGATTTGAATTAGCCAATGTTGTCAAGTAGCGGATATTGAGGCGCTATGGCACTATAGCATAGTGTACTTTGATGAATCCACTATGAAAACTGCGACACTGTCCTAGCTTCACTATTAGGGCAATTGAATAAAAAGAGAAATTTAGGATTTTTTTTAATGATAAAATTGAAGAATCTGCATACTTGCAAAACATGGCCTATTTTTTAATAGAAAACTTGTAGAGTCGGCTAGTATTAGTGCTGTATTCACCATAATATGTAAAACCTTTCAATATATAAGCTATATTCCACCTCCATTTCCATTTTTAATTTCTTAAAATGTGTGGTTGTGCCTAACTCAACCCTACAAAACCGGCTTGTAAAGTGAGGATTGCCCCCACATTTAAACACAACATAGGTCATATCTCTAAGCAATGTGGGGCTAAATCCACCCCTTCAAACCCAACAAAGGTGTTTGAGGCTGCAATGAAGGCAAGCCAAATGCCACAATTTAGGCGACTAGGGGCGGACCGCAATGAAGGTGGAAATTCCAACAGTATGTAGTGTGGTTTTTTATATATAATTGACTTATATTAACCGCTATGCAGCTTTCACTATTTGTCTGCAACACTATCTGTTATTTCAGTCTCAGCAGATTTTTAGTGTTATGCAATTTTCTGTTGATAACACTAAAATTTTCTATTTAAACACAAATCACAATTTCACACACAGCATGCTACATGGGCTGTCCAAATTATAGCACAGCCCGCCCTATTTTGACACCTCCCCCCAAGAATCTAAAATGCTAGCAGGCTTAAATTAGCTCTATGATGATTTTTCAGGAAACTCAAAGCATATAATCATGCCATCCCGTTGCCCAAAAATGGCATACACAATGTGGTGAATTTCTCACTGTGACACAAAATATGCAAGAAAGCCATTTTTAAAAGTGCAGAAAACAACAAATATTTCGTAAAATTGACAAGTAGACTCTATCATTGATTCTATGCACGAAAATTTCTCAATCACATAGGGTAGACAAGGGAAATTGCATTCATTAAAATCCTTAAAACATCAACTAAAGGATCCCAAATTCGCATGAACCGGTGATATTTAACAGAAAAACATACTGATAAAGATTCCACCTCTTATCTTCACAGCTTCCACAATCGGATTACAGTTGATCAACATTTTTTCCACATGCATACTCAGTGTATGTCACCTATGGATGATGTGAGCCAGTGTTCACCCATAAGATATGTACAAATACAATGCATAACCCATTCTCATAATCAGGCATTTCTATGTTCCCAAGCTACCAAGACTAACAAAATCATGACATTTTCAACTAGAAAGAAGATCATAATGGTAATTCTATCAAAGGTGATAACCCAACTCACCAACAAGGAAAAAATACAAAGTAGAAATTTTGGAATGGATAAGGCATTCTTGTCTTACATTTTTTCTCTTGACCTTCTGGTTCAAGTGGAAAAGGATTCCTGGTAACCTGAAGTTTGGTGGGGATGTAAGTAAAGTCTAATCCAGGATTTTTCCAGTCAGATATCAAACTCGGGTATTTTGCATCAATTTGACCCTAACCGTAGATCATTATTGTCTTACATAAACAAAAGCAATCAAGCCTTTTTCCACTAAGTGGGGTCGTCTCATTACTCATCATTGTCTTACTTAGTAAAACTAAAATAATACTAATTGCAATAACTGTAAAATAAAAGTAAATCATTTTCAATATTAAGAATCAGTTTGGCATCCCTTTTTAAATTGAAGTAGTACATCAAATTGAATATTTAAACTCACCCACTCATCCACAAATGAAATCATTACATACCCATTTTCCATACTATGAAGCACAAACACGAACACAGACACCAGACACAGCATCAACACTAACACGTTAACACCGGTAATACTAATAACAATTTGAAAAAATGAATAAATTGAATGTGATCATAAGTGTCGGTGTGGTGGACACTAACACACCTTTTTTCAAAGGTGTCAGTGCTACAAACTTTTTACATGTCAATGGTATTTTTAGAAGGAAAACAATTTCCATTATAAATACTCATTCTCCTAAGCTTAGAAATAACATTGATAGATTATAACTCATTCACTCATTCCCAAATGCCAATTCCCATCACAAACTCATTTCTAAACCCTAAGCATAACTTTAGAAGGAAAACAATATCCACTCTAACTAATCATTCTCCTATGTTTAGCAATAACACTGATGGATCATCACCACATCCTTTGCATAAAACCCTTTATTCATTTTAATAAACCAACAAACCCTAATTAAAGCCCTACAATAAAACTCTCACCAAAAGCAAAGAAAACAAGTGTAACCACTTTGAGCAAACAAACAATGATCCAAAACCAAAACTAACAACAACAAAAAAAATCTTAATTTCAAAACAAGTCAAAGAAAATAAAAACAGAAACAAGCATAAAAATGCAATTTTTACTTAAAATATGAAGAAAAAAGTAAGAAATATAAACTAACCAAAAAGCGGTGTAGGTAGAGAAGCCAAAAGAAGTAACCATGACGCTGATGGAAGCAGCACCAAATGCACATTGTCCGAACCGCAACAAGAATCCACTCACTGTTCCAGGTCCACCCAACAACCTCTTCATCATCCTCCTTCGTCTGCTTCAGATTTTTCTTTTGTAGCTTTTATGAAGAGGAATAAAAAGAAACCCTAATTTTCAAAATTGTTCGATTATGGGAATTTTTCTGTTCCGATTTCTGTATCCATTGGAGAGAGAGAGAGAGAGAGAGAGAGAGAGAGAGAGAGAGAGAGATGAGAGAAGAAATGTGAAATTTTGCGTTTTATTTTTATGTGTGCTCATGAATTAAAATAAATTAATATTAATATATGAAAATAATACATATAAAAAAATTAGATATAAATGTTAAATTATGGAAGTGTTTTTTGTTTCAATATTTTATTTGTTTTTTATTGTAATTAAGATAGTTTTGTTTTTTAATTGTTTTTGTTGGTTTGCTAGTGGCAAGTTGGAGTGGGTGGGTTGTTTCCTTTTTCTCTAAAGGAAAGATACATTGTTATTTTCTATTTGGCAAAAGTGAAAAATAAAATTCTAGTACTATTTGAAAGTTGTCTTATGATTGTGTTCTTTGGCTACAAATATTTCATTATAACTTGAGTATCCAAGCATGAGTGTGATAATTACATGGCTATCCTCAATAGTGACTAACATTTTTGCTACACATGTTACACCATAAACCCTACATCAACTCAAATAAGGCAATTATAAAGGTTTGTATAAATACAAGGTAATTTTGCAAAGATTTCTTTCATTTCAATTGTGTTCAAAATGTCATATTTTAATCTTTTTAACAAATCATTTATACAAAATCCTCAATTCTAAAGTAAAAAAAAAAAAAAAAAAAAGTTGCATGGTAGTTTTTAATAATTAAGATTTTTCCATGAATCACTTAAGAAACCACCCCCTCCATATATTATTGTAATTTAACAAGTAAATTCACATCAATAATAGTTTAAATGTTATCAATCACTTAGACTTATCAAACAATTCATATATGATATTAGTCGGTTAAACCACCTTTTAGTATTTTAATTTGTCTTTAGGGATATTTTGGTCATTTGACTTAAAAAATACTATATTCGTCCCACAACTATTCAAAACATAACATATTATATCAATCATTTTTATATAATTAGTGACATAAGAAAAATTAAAGATCGATCATTAAATTCATTATTAATAGATGGAAAAAACTAACATGGTTTATTTTAAGGGACCAATATGATAATGGAGATATTGACTCAATATATGATGATTCCCTCTTTATGAGGTTTTCGATGATATATCTAACTTACTCTCCTTTTCCATCTAGTTATAAGGTCGTTACATACACGTGTCTGAGGTTTAAGAGAATCAACACTTTCAAAATCCTCATACATGTTGGAGTTCACATTGTGAAACTTGAACGTCATTTGGATATTGAACTAGAAACAATGAAAATGAAACATTTGGTTTTCAAGTAACTTGTGCTTGAAGGAATCCACATGGATAGACTTTTCAATTTGAATCAAACCTTCAATATTTGACACCATAAGGGATTCATATACCAACACCTTGAAACAATGCCACTTGATCTTCTGAAACTGTCAAATCAAGGTCTTTCTAACTTTGTGCACTCACAACTCCCAAATCTATTCATCCTTTGAACATGATCCCTTCTACATATTTGTAGTTTAGGATATCCTCTTTACGAAGATCATTAGTTTGCTCCCCTTGGCTCAAATATGAGATTTTTTTTCCACCCTGCCATACTTTTAGGATGTATTCACCATAATGCCATCAATTTCACAATATATCCTAAAATACCATGTTTTCAAACAAAACAAAATTTTTGCATAAGCATGCCCGCCCTTGCAATGGGCGGCAGTGTTGAAAATGAAGGAGAACCGCCCATTCATTGGGCGGTAGAGTGCATTCCTATTTTTTTTTTTCGTTTTAATTAATGTATGTAGTTTTAATAATTTAATTTAATTTAATTAATAATAATATATATTATTATAAAAATATTAATATATATAAATATTAATATATATAATTATTAATATATATTATTATAAAAATAGATTAATAATATAAATTTTAATATATGTTAATATTAATAATATTAATATATATATTAATATTTATATTAGTAATAATATAAGTATTAATATATATTATTATAAATATATCTTAATATATATTTTTAAATATTAATATGTAATATTATTAATATATATTATTATTAAAATAGATTAATAATATTAATTTTAATATGTATTAATATTACTAATATTAATATTTATGTCATTAATAATATAAGTATTAATAATTTTAATAATAATATATAATTATGTTAATATTATTAATATATTTTAAAATTAATATTAATGATATTTATAATATTAATATACATTAATATTAATAATATTAGTATTTATTAGTATATGTATTATGTGACACTATTATTAATATTAATTTAAATTTATATATTGAAGACATAATTTATATTGATTGAAATTATTAACTAATATTAATTAATACATGATGATTAAAAAAAGGACTAACGACTACTTGTTCCCACATTGGGACACCGGGTGCGATTGTGTCCCGTTTGACGACACATGGAACATTTCCTCTCAAGCTTATCAAAGTTATCCATTTCTGTTGTAATACGTGTGCTTACAGGGCGACCTTTCTTGTTCCTCCGCATTCTTGGGTTATGGCAAATTTGATCTCCTTCATAAACAGGCCAATATTCATCGCATGGCATCACTGGAAAACTTGCGCTGTAAACCCCAAATAGGTTTGTAACCCTATAAACGTCGGACAAAAGAGTGTAAGCGTCGTGACGCACATTCGAACATGCAGCGATAACATGTGAGCAAGGGACACGAAATGCTTGAAACTTTCCGCAGTCACACCACCCGTTCAAGAGGTCGACCTTATAATGTCCCATAGGTTTCCCCTCTCCATGGTCCATTGTCTCTTGCACACTGAAAACATTGTTCCTGTAGTCAAAAATTCTTACTTGATGCGTGCTGGATTTTGTTGTTTCTTCTTTCATAACCTTGAGGCAGTTGTCTGTAAATGCTTGGCCAGAATTCAACACAGCACTCCACTTTCCACCCCTTTCAGCAAATAAAGATCCTAGTCTATAATACGTTGCCCTTACCAATGCCGTAATGGGCAAATTACGTGTGCCCTTAAAAACGACATTCATTGACTCGACAAGGTTGGTAGTCATGTGACCCCAACGTCGACCGCCGTCAAATGCCCTTGTCCATTTTTCGGCTGGAATATTGTCAATCCACCTTAAAGCATCTGCATTTGCCATGCTAATCTCTGACCGATAGTAATGAAATGTTGGCTGGTTTAAAGCGTATCCTGAATAATTAAAATATCAAATTAAAATATTGACAAAATAATATATGTTATTGACAAAATTTAATGAATATTAAGAAATATAGTTACCCATGTTAATTATTTTTTTCCGTAGGTTCCTGTCCTTGATTTCTCTCATAAAGTTTTGTGCAATGTGTCGGATACAATAAACATGCACTGAAGGGGGATCCTGCCAACCATTTTCCACATTGTTGTATGCACTTTCAATTGAGGCATGTCGGTCTGAAATTAAACATAGATCTGGTTGTGGGGCCACATGCCTCCTTAAGTTTCTCAGAAAAAAACCCCAGGCTTCAGCGGTTTCACCTTCCACAAGGGCAAAAGCAACCGGAAATATGTTGCTGTTCCCATCTTGTGCAACTGCGATAAGCAGTGTACCCTTGTACTTACCGTATAACCAGGTTCCATCAATTTGAAGTATAGGTTTGCAATACGCAAAACCTCTGATGCATGGTTGGAATGCCCAGAATAGCCGGTGGAAGATGTGTTTCCCTTCAACAATAGTTCCGTCAGATGTATGCATGGGTAGTGTTTCTATTTCCAGCACAGTGCCTGGAACATATTTTTTAAGTGCTAACAGAAAATGTGGAAGTTCATTGTACGAGCTTTCCCAGTTACCGTAGACTTGTTCAATTGCCTTATTTCTTGCTATCCATGTCTTTCTGTAAGACGGAGTAAAATGGAATTCGGAAACAATTTTACTTATGCAAACACTAACCTTAATAGAAGGATCTCTGTCTACAAAAGGCATTAATTTTTGAGACATTAACTGCGAGGTTAGTTTTTGATGATCCTGATTGAACAAAGTTGTTGAACAACTATGGGGTGGGTTCATAATGCCTATCTCCCACAACTCACTTCTTTTTCGGTAGGATGCCACGAGACGAAACTTGCAGGAATCATTCCTGCAACAAATTATGTATCTCTTCTTGTCGGAATCTATCACTTTGTAATCCACACAGTGTTTCATGTGGTATTGCTTAATGGCAGCGACACAATCAGCTTTATTTTTAAATTGGTAACCGACTTCTATGTCACCTTCCGCGGGAAAACGAGGATTCCGTGGCCAATCAAATGATGTTCCTTCTATGCTTAGTGGCAGGGTTGTCATATGCGCTGGTGGGATGAATACATTTTCAAGTGGAACACATTGATCATCTATGTTGACTTCGATACCTTCCTCAAACAAGGTAGTATATAAATCATCAACTTGTGCCTCGTTTTCTTCTTCGCCGTCTCCGTCTTCAACATCTTCGTATGGAATTATGGATGGATTGACTACCTGAGAGGTCTGCGTTTCTTGAACTTGTGCAAATGTTATATATAAATCAATGTGTTGAAACCCACAACATTCATGATTCGAGAACATCGTTTCAACATCCTCGTCGTCGCGAATCTTCAGTGGAACAAATTTAAAGCGATTGTCGCCGAAACAGACGGCATTTTTGTACGTCATCTGTAACACTGATCCAGCTTGCAACTTCATCTGTACTCTTTCTTTAAAATGTTGGAATGATGATCTTCTATTAACAGCGAAACGAATTACGTCAGTGTTTTCAAATATCAAACCCACTTCATCTGATACAACAACACTTCCATTAAAATGGGCATTAACAATATATTGTTGAGCACTAGACATTATGTAATAGAGGTAGAAGAAAAATATTGTTTGAGTAGACTTATTT